AAAAAAAAAAAAAAAAAAAGTCAGAAGTAATATTTGTCGAAAACGTGAGATCTTTTACAAGCCCCATGAATATCACCCTGCAACCGCCCACCCTATGCCATCATAACCTCTTCCTCACGCCACTCGTGCAAGAGAGAAAAAAAAAACGGAATCGAAGGAGAGGGTGAGAAATGAAAGGAAATCGAAAGGAAGGAAGAGTTAGAACGATGTCGGAAAAAACCTTGTTTTGTATCCTCATCGACGACGATAACATGAAGGAAAAGTTAGAGAGACCTTGGGTGAGCGAATAACAGAGTGGCTAGAAATTGAACGTAAATGATGACCGGAGGAGAAAGGGAAGTTGAACGTAATCCTTTTTAGTTGGAAAGGTCGAACCAGATACCTTCCAACATGTAAGCCTCGGGAAAGTTACATGAGCTAAAAAAAAACATTCAATTTGGTCGATTTACATGAGCTAGTTGTATGAGAACACGTGTTTATTTAGCTAAAATGAAATTGCATGAAGGGGATAGGACAAAAATATAATTGCACACTAGGGTGCGTATATTACATCATACAAGCGAGTGCATGCGAATGCGATCTCAATGTTGTTCGGAGGCAATAACTTTGTGAATAATTGACCAAATTAGATATTTTTTGAAAATATAATCGTGCCACTTTTCAAGGCCTATACTAAGAGGGCATCACATTCAAATTAGATGAACGATGACGACGAAAGTGTTTAAAATGTGAGATTCCACGTCAGTTAGGGAGGAGAATGAAACACCCTTTATAAGGGTATGAAAACTTCTCCTTAGTAGACTCATTTTTATAAAACCTTGAGGGTAGTCTGAAAGAGATAGCCTTAAGAGGACAATATATGCTAGCGGTGGGCTTAGACCGTTACAAATGATATTAGAGTCAGACATCGAGCGATGTGCCAGTGAGAAGGTTGTTCCTCGAAGGGGGTAGACACAAGGCAGTGTGCCAGCAAGGATGCTGGGCTGGAAGGGGGTGGATTTGGCGGAAGTCTCACATCGATTGGAGAAAGGAACGGGTATCAGCAAGGACGTTGGACCCTAAAGAGGGTGACTTGTGAGATCCCACAGTGGGTTGTGAGAAGAACGAAACAATCTTTATAGGGGTGTGGAAATCTCTCCCTAGCATAAATTTTTAAAAAAACTTTGAGGGTAAGCCCGAGAGTGGCACCCTCAAAGGGTGTGGAGAACGAAACAATCTTTATAAGGGTGTGGAGATCCCACATTGATTTGTGAGAAGAACGAATATATTTGATATATTTTATGTTCGTATGCTAATCAACTAATATATTTTATATTTCATATACCAATAATATATCCGATGGATATATTTTATATTTTGTATATCAATGTATCACTTTCATACCAAATTTACTTAAAAAATAATATTGAGGAATAATAGCCTTTTATACTTGAAATTGCATTTGTGAATGATTACCGATTATGTTATTACTTGAAATGCCTTTTAAATGAATATTATTATGTTATTAAGGTAATAGAGGTCAATATAATGTCTTATATCACAAATTTAAATTGAATTACGTTAGAATTGTGAAATACTAATGAAAGACGATGGACGACTTAATAGAATACGACCTCCGACGATACTTGAAGAAGCTTCGAGGAACGGAAGCTTAGCGAATTCGAAAGTAGGGAAACACCGGGTAAACCCTAAACCCTTACTATAGAATAGACTAGGAAATTGTTTGATGCATGCCTAGTGCCACCGGCACGTGTCCCTTATGCTTTATGATAACGATGTATGATGATGTATATGAGTTATATGATGACGTTTGATGATGTTTTGTGATGATTATGATATGTTATGATGACGATGCATGATGATACAATGAAGTAGATAATATTATTTCCTTAATGTAATGTTATTTTCTATATTAAGTTGAGAAGCATGTTGTGAATGTCATACTGCATTACGACGATAATTAAGTAGATAATAAATATGTTTTAAAGATGAGAAACTTTAGGAACCTCATGCATTTTTGTATGTACATAAGCATCGGGATACTTCCCTTTTTATGATGATGAGTACGAACGCGTACGTCACGATGATGATAGTGATCATGTCGTGCATGACACTCAGGGTCTGCTGACCTCCGGACATCGCTACGGAGGGTCCAGGGGAGTGCAAACTGCTTGGAGATTCACGTTTGCACGTGTGGGTCATATAGGGAAGTACTGCACATCTAATTTAGTCCGGACTGGAGGCTATCCCTAGGATGTTTTAATGATAGATTTCTAGAGCATTATTGCATGTGTTTGCATTTCCACATCCCTTATTAGTGGGGTCACTCGTGAATATTATTCAAAATACTCGGAACATGTGCTTTAGATAAAAGCAATGCGTCCCTGGACCTATTATAATCAGAGAACATAACACGTGCATAGAACTAATAACATGTTTAATTTCCTTGACTTGGATTATAATAGATTGTTATGTTTTTCATGTTTTAAATTAATTTTCATTATTGGTTTTAGTTTTATTTTTGAATTATGTTCGTGAGACCATGACTTTAATATGAAATCTACTGTCTTACAAATATTAACTATTTTCATCCCATCCATACATCTTGGGGAGTTCCTTCCCGTTTTAAAATATTCTTCCCACCCCTCCAACAAAAAAAAAAAAAAAAAAAAAAAAAAAAAAAAAAAAAAAAAAAAAAAAAAA